CAGGGGTGGCACCACCCACAGTGGGCTGGGCCCTCCCACATCAGTCATCAAGAAGATGCCCTTCAGACATGGCCACAGGCCAGTCCAACAGAGGCAATTCCCCAACTGAGGCTCCTTCAACCCAGGTGTGTCAAGTTGACACTAAAGCTATCCATCACAATGTGATTCAGTCTTTGCCTAATATATGTGAAGTTCTGGATTCTAGTCAGCACTACTAAAAATATGCTATGCAGATTAAAATAATTGTCTTGAAAACCATTGGTCCAAATTGGGTTTTTTATTCTCTAGAGTTAGTGGTTCAAGGACTTTTAACAGTCACTTAGTTAGCTGTGCTCATAAAAATGTAATTTTCTTCAAATCATAATAGTGTTTTCTTAATAACCTTTGGATATACATTCATTCAGAGTGTGATAGAAAGAACTAGATTAAGGTAGTCAGGAGGGGAAGATTCTTCAAACATTTTCATAATATCTGCTATACACAACATCTGTCAAATATGTAGATTTTTATTTATTTGATTTTTGTGTGTGACTGTTTTGCCTGCATGTATGTAAGTGCACCAGGTGCATGAAATGCCTAGAGAGGCAAGAGGGCTTCAGATCTCCTGGAACTGAAATTACAGATGATTGTTAGCTGCCATGTGGGCTCTGGGAAACAAACCCTGGGTCCTCTGCAAGAGCAGCCAGTGCTCTTAACCACTGAGCCATGTCTCCTGCCCCCAAATGTGTGAATTTTTGAAAAAGATTTTGGAAGCACTTCTTTGATCATGACATTGACTTTGATCATGATTAAGTCCTGTGTGAGTCCTACAAACTGAGCCATGTATGAAAAATGTGCCAAGTATTCAAAAAATCAGAAAATTTCAGTTAGTCATTTGTTTTTCTTAAGTTATCAATACCTTTTATGCTATTGAATAAAGAATGTGTGATGTGGACTATTTATTTCAAGACTTTTTTATTTGAGGGAATATCTTGACCATGATAAAAGTTCTACAGACATCATGTTTTATCCATGTTCTTTGGAATAATATTTAATTCAATAACATAGTAAAGAACAGAATGCTTAAAATTGAGCCATGATAATACCTTAGACTTTTCCTTTGTCAAAGCAAAAGCACAACTCTTACCTCAAAGGGCATAAGAGTTTACTCTGGAGCCAGTTATGGATGAATGTTGCTCAGGAACACAGATTCAGGTTACCCCAAATTTCATGTTTCAATGTGGTAAGTTTCATGAAGTTTTTATAGTAATAGAACAAAGAAAGCCATAAATCAAGACATTTTAGAATTGGTGGAGACATCACATTAAAGAGGTGGCTTATGGCAAAGCAGAGAGAATTCTGCTTGAGGCCTTAGATGCCATCTGACAGGCTTCTTAACCCTTTGGTTGGCAGAAGCTGGTGGTCTGCTGAGCCTAATACATTCCAAAAGGTTTTTATCTGTTAGTCATAAGATGGTAGATCAGACATAGAGGTTGACAAAGAGTGGCTTTAGGGGGATAAAGATCCCAGAATAAAGTATAAATAGACTCTGAACCTGCAAGGTCCCAAATTCTCCACAATTACTGATATTCTAACCAGTTGATCAGCGTTGCAGGAGGTTCAGTCGAAGATGCGGGGTTTTTATTCTGGGAACTTTTGGTTACACCTACAAGCCTAAATCAGTAGATTGAAATAACGTTTACTTTTCTACTTTTTTTTTCTGAAAAGAGAAGACTCAGAGAGACAAAGAAAATAGAGTTGATGAACATTACTGTAGTGTCTTAAGTAACTCATGATAACAGTGAGCAGTTACATTAATCAGCTTTTTAAAACACTAGTGAATCATTAGTAAATTAAACCCATGTTAATAAATTTAAATAAGGTTTGCCCTATTTGAAAACAAGGCTGTAGGTCAGTTTGTGCACCATTCTGCTCAGTCAGTTAAACCTGTAGTCCAGCACTGGAAGGTAGTGCAAAAGGGACATTGTTAAGCATTATAAAACAAATTAAGGCATTGTTTATTATTAAGACTCCATCTTAAAAGAAGAAATGAGACTTCATCTTAATAATAAGAGACCAAGGACTTGTTTCTGTTTCTCTTAAAATCTAAATGATAGGATTGGGCTTAAAAATACAGCAACAGAGGTCGTATATTATTTGGTAATGAGTATTACCAAATATTACAACCCTATGTATTGTCAGTGTTAAATAAAGAACAGTAGGCAAGTTTTTGTACGATTAGAGTACAGTTTCTCAATTTCAACAGTGCTTACATTCCAACAGTGTGGAATGGATAGTCTTTGCGTCTGTCATATGCATCATAGGATGTTTAGCAGCATCCTATCCACTGCCCACCGTATAGCAATAGCCCCTTTTCTCTCAGTTGTGACAACCATGCATATTTCCAGTTATTTCCAGTTGTTCTTTGGGGATGTGAGTATCAAAAAGGAGAAATTAGTTAACTCAGTAATGGGTCATACCTGAAGCAAGTGAAATAGGTATAACCACTGATATAGAAACATTAATGTCAACATTAAAGATGTTTAAGTATCCATTCTTTGAGTTAAGGAGTCTCACAACAAAATTTTATTACAGTATATCTCTATCTGCCCAATAAAAACCCACCAGTAACATCTCATCTCAAATTTTAAAATTTCATCTCTTTAAAAATTGTTGTGTTACAGTGTTTTCAGACTGGCATTCACTCGTTTAGAGATAATCAGAAAGGGTAGTTTATATCTTAGAGGAATAGTGTAGTGGAAGTCAAGGCCTTGGCGCTAAAGAAACCAGATCCACATCCTGTCTCTTTCACTAGGGGAGTCTTGATCAACTTCATTAATTTTTCTACACCCTAGTTTTGTAGTTATATGAAAGCCTTGGTTCCTGCTGAGAACATCAGGAGCTAAATAGTGCTCAAATATTAGACCTGGATCCCAAGGCTGCATTTATGTAGCATATTTTGTATTTTTAACAACACATTGGTCTTCCTTTATTGTGAAGGTGACAGATATTCTCCAATAAATACAGTATATCAGAATACCATTGCTTTGGCCTTTTGCTTAGAAGACCAGATCACTTCTCAGTCTTTTCTATCATAAGATTATACTGTCTAGATGAAGCATTACTTGGACTCAAGAAAAATACTTTAAAATCATTAATGTCACTTATCATAAAATACTTCTGAAGATAATTTAAGTTCTGCTTACATATATAAAAACCTGTTTTATTTTTATTTAAAGTAAAAATCAGGGTACAGTAGTCAAATTTATAATGCTTATATGATTAATTATTTTTAAATATCTATATTAATATTCATTTATGCTAATTATATTAAAATTTACTTTCAGCCTTGATCTCAATATGGAACTACCACAGGGCCAGACAGGGTCTGTTGGTGCAAGTGTTGCTTCTACAGAGCAGGTAGAGGTTGAATTATATATTTTTTAAATTTGTATTTTGATACATGTGTACCTGATGTATATTTAAATTAATAATTTAGAAAATAAGGATTTTGTGTGAAATGTGTATACAGTTTTATATTTATAAACCATATATTCAACATTTTATTTTATGAGGCATATTTTTCTACTATTCCACATCATTATAAATTAGCAAAATTTGATGAGCCTTTAGCTCTGCAGTACTTGGCATTTTCTACTTGCATGTTTATTTCATTTAGACATTGTTTTGTTATACTTTGTAGCTTCCTCTGTGAGATTGTCTTTAAAATGTGAAGGATTTAAAATATTGACGATTTATATTTGTGAAAACATTGGTGATTTGTAAATTTTGCTTCCTCCAGGATGAACTGTCACAGAGGCTTGCTCGTCTTCGTGATCAAGTGTAACTGAAAGAACTGCTGTTTCTGTTTCCTTCACTTGTTTCTGAAGCATCCTTTGTGTGTCTATATAGATAAGTTGTACTCTGATTACAAAACACCTGCCGGAATGTTTAAACATTATTTATATATAATGCTTTCTTTTGCCTTGTGTGCTTTGCAGTACATTAGGAAATTCCTGGGGGTTTCCACATTGGCAGATTTTATAGTTCTGTATATTATGAGTAAAAGTGTAAGGGACATATTTTTGTAGATGTCTTTGACAAAGCTAGCATTAATTTTCTGTATATTGTATATCTTCCTAAAATGTTAGAGCAAACATCTAGCGCCAAAGTACTACCAAGTTAAGTAAGTACTTTTCTCATAATAAAGTGTAGAATAAAGACTTTTTATATTCAAAGTACTTTTCAGTTACTGATTGTGATGAAATGTGACTTGTATAAATAAAAATGGGGAAAGCATGTTTACTTATTATGTTTATATCACCAAAACCATCTTATTTAGTGTCATAAAATGGACTGACTGTATCATTTTCCATGGAATTTTTTTTTGTTTTCTTCCTTGAGGGTTTTTGTTTGGTTGCTTTTCAGACAGAGTGATCCTCCTGCCTCAGTCTCTGGGTCTGTGACACCACAGCCACCTCATTTTCTATGGTTTATGTTTATTTTTATTATGTAAACAGAAATGCAATAGGTGTTTAACCTTTGTTCATCAGCAATTACGCTTAAATCATTACAGATTTTGCCCAGTAATTTAATGACTACCATACCATTCCTTATATTTTTAAAAACATTTCGTTGACAGTTTTACTATATGCCTAGGAAACTTATTCAGTATTAATTCAAAGAAATTAAGGCTTGATCATTTTAAACTTTGCTGTTGACAAAATATTATTAAGATTTCCAGAAAAAATACAACATACTTTAGAATTCTAAAACATATTAAATGGCTTAAATATTGATATTCAACACATTGTGTATTTTAAAGGAGCTTCATTTATATATTAAAATCACATTTTACCATGTGATTATTGATTCAGTTTCTAGAATCGTGGCCTGTTGTTTAAACTCAACCAACAAAATAACAACTCAAGTTTTGTAACTAATTTAAGTCCTAGTTAAGTGAGTTCTTTTTTTTGTTTTGTTTTAAAAGAAAAACCTTGAATAACTAAAGGAAATGAAGTAGAAATAGTAAGGTAAAATATTTTGTTCAGTTGTGCAAACAGATCCCATCTCAGTAGATATTGGGAGACTACCAGTAAGTGAGGGCCATCAAGTTCATAGCCTTGTAAAAAGAACAAACTAGTCGGCCAGGGCTCTTTAAGGGAAAGCACTTGATGACCAGCTGTGCTACTTGTGATCTCCTCAGGAATATTTATATTTTATCAAGTAAAAATGAACAAATTGGTATGTGCCTACCTTTTTTTGATGTAGACTGTAACCAAATTATATTTTAACAAGTATACTACTAATCTAGTTTAAACAAATGGTTTTCCTTACTGAAAGACCAATCCATAAGCGAATTCTAGTACATCTTGGAAGAGCAAGACCTTGGACTGCATCTCAGCAACAACAACAAAATGTTTCCATGTTAAGTCATAAAAGTATTTAAAATACAATTATGCAAATATTTTTCACTAAATAGTCATGATTCATATATGAGATGTCTTATTCACAAGAGTATATATGATAAGTGAAGATTATACTTAATAAATGAAGACATTCATTTGATAATTTTGGCTATTTAATTTCCTTAGTATCTGACTATATGGTTGTGATCTTAATATGAATTTTCCATTTTATTTGTAGTTGGTATTCTATCCTTTCTAATTATAGAGAACATTTGCTGTATTGGAACACCCTGAGAGCCATAGAAGAGATCTTTGCACACTGAAATAGCTGTGTCATCAGAGTTTGTTTTCAATCGGTGTCAGTTACCTAGCCTCTGTTCTTTTAACTTGAATAAAAGTTGTTACATGTGATTACCACTTAGCTCTGCATTTAACTGGTCATCCTTTTATGTTAGAATTATGTCTGATTTACCTTTCAAGGACATTAATATTGGGGCTGGAGATTGCTCTTACTGAGGACCTGAGTCCCAGTACCCGTATCAGGTATCATTTATGGCTTACATAGGGCACCTGCACTCTTCTGCAAGTATCCACACACAGACACACAAAGATGCAGACACGTACACACACAAAATACATGTAGTTTTAAAAATTAAAAATATATCGATAGACACTAGATTTCACTTTTACATCTATATGTTATTTTATAAGTGAAATAAAATTCTTCTTAGAATTTATTATTAAGCCCAAAACACTGGAGATTCTTAGTATAACTTTACTTCTAATTTGATAATTGCTTCAAAAATTGATAAGTAACGTCAAATTATACAATCATGGAAAATAGTCTAGTATCTTTCATTTACTTCACATTTTAGTTCTCTGTCAATCTCAGGTTCTTCTGATATTTTTCCTAAGCATGTGATAATATCATTTGGTGAACATATGTGATTATACACTGAAAACATTTTGTTCCACTTTGGCACATTGGATAATGTTGATGATGATAATTTTCTATCTGTTGATGTATCTTGATGCTTAAAATCCTGTGAAAGATTTTAGGTAAACATTATGGACTAGATTATTTTACCTGGCTAATTTATTACTGATGAATGTCATATAGAGAAGAAGGCATAGAAGATGGGAAATGGAATTATGACAAGAGATGGGTTTGCTTTATAGCTTAGAAAAGTACAGTGAAGGAGCATCTGATCTTATGACATGTTCTGGCTGTCCTTGGACACAGCAAAAAGAACTGACTGATAGAATACCAGAAGCAAACTTAGTCTAGGTTTCTGTGGATTTAATGAAGTTTATTAAAGTCCAAAATGACTCTTGTATGTAAAGGCCAGAATCATACAAAATGGTTTGTGGATTCCTTTGCTTGCTGAGTACTGCTGGAGCTTGCCTTTAGGTTACTAGCGACATCTATTAGTTTGGGCAAGTATCAGCTTCTTGATCCTCTTCTCTTACTTTGAAGTTGGGTTTATATTTAACACTTGTAGATATTGGAAGGATTAAATGAAGTAATGAGTAAAATACAGACAAGAGTCTATATTGAGCACTCTATCTGCACTGACTGGCATCTTTTTCCTTACAAACAAAATCTTCAAATATTTTGAATTATGAAACATTCATCTGGGTAGTAGAAACTGATTAGGCTTTGTATGTAATATGTTCTAAGTAGTTACCAGAACAGTTGTTCACTGAGTGTTCCCATTTTAAATCTCTGGTTTCCTATCCTCATGGCAGTGAGCTACATCCCCACCTCAAACTGCTTGTTTGGAAGGCCTTAGTGAATGGAATAGCAGTAGTGTGTAACAACATTTCTAATTTTTTCCCACTAAATAAAGGGATGCTTCAGACAGGAGTAACTTTAGAGAGGAATTAGTTTCCCAACTGAAAAAAATAAACTTGGACTGGAGAAATGGCTCATCAGTTAAGAGCACATGCTGCTCTTGCAGTGGATCAGAGTTCAATTTGCAGCATCTATATGAGGCAGTTCACAAATGTTTCTGACTCCAGTTTTAGGGACTGCAGTGCCCTCTTCTGGTCTCCACGTTAAGTGCAATCACTTGCACAAACCCACACTCACACATGCATATACCCATAATTACAAATAAAACATAAACTCCTATGCCTGTAACTTTGCTTGAGGATAACAGAGTATTAAGGCTTGGAGGGAGAGTAAATTGAGTATCTCTATTTTAAGGCTTTGAGCAGGCTCTGCATATTTAATTCAATACTGAGATGTGGGGACTGAGGGCTATTAATACCCAGGCAAAATTGGAAAGATTGCTTTAAAGTAGCTATTTTCTTGCCAGTGGACTTCAAAGAAGTGATCCTATATCATTTCAAGTCTTTGAAATGTTTATGCACTGAACAGCCATTTCCCAGCTTGACAGCTTCCCTAGAGCATCTCTAGAACTTAGAGATCTTCCCCTGAAAGATCATTGGCAGGGTGCAACTGTGGGCCACTTAGAGTGATACAAAAAACCTCAAGAAATGGTCACAGGTTCATCTCTAGCCTTTGGGTTACCCTTTCTGAGCAGGAAAGGAGACTGCAGTAGAAGTTGGCTTCTTCTTGGGCTACTTTCCTCCCTACAAAAAATTATGTTAACTGAAATGTCTGTTCCCCCATATCTTCTCCTACAACAGATGGAGATATTGAAACCTAGAAAAAGACAGGCCTGTTCCATATGCTGAATCCACATCAAATCAGTAGGCTTTCATAGCTCCAAGGTGTGAGAAATCACATTTATTTTTATTGCATCAAAGGATCAACTTTTAGTAATTCAGTACAACATTTAGAGTTTAAAATTATGTCACCCTATTTCTTCTTTAGTTCCTCACCATCATTATCATTATTCAGTGATTCAAAAACTCAAATTTTCCTACTACCCACAAACTTTGAGTATAATTGCACATGGGCTTTGAAAATTTATTTTTTAAACCAAAGAGAAAGGAGCTGCAGCGATGGTTCAGCGGTTAAGAGCACTGATTGCTCTTGCAGGTTAAATTTCCAGCACCAACATTGACAACTATCTGTAACTCCAGTTCCAGGGGTTCTGATGCCCTCTTCTTTCCTCTGTAGGTACTGCATGACATTGGTGCACTTACATGCAGAGGTAACACAGATAAAATAAAAACAAAATATCAAAATTGGAGGGGGTATGTGAAGAATGGTTTAAAGTTCCTTGCGCTCTCACATATATTCAGAACAAAATTATTTCCTGTCTTCCATGTTGCTGATTTTCCACTATTCAAGAATCATTGGTTAGAGGTACTTTTCATAAAAATTCCTTGAAATATATACTCCACTAATAATATCACCAGGTCATACCTTCAGTGTGACTTTATCTAAATTCAACAACTAAAATACCTGGTCCTAACCAGATATCTGGGCTATAACATTTAAACCCAAATAAATTTTGGCTGGGGTAGAGATTTTCCTAGATAAGGCCAGCCACCAGAAATAGTGTTGAGTGGAACTGAGAGGCTATGTCAGGGTAGCATGAAGGGAGCTTGCAGGGACTTTGAAAAACCTGGGAAGAATATGCTGCAAACAAGCTTTGTCAGTCTTTCTCTTTAGCCCTCCTAGAAGTGATAACCTCAGCAGCTGCTAGGGCTGAGCATGAATCCTCCTGCTTTCATCTGTTTGTCATAATTTCCATAGTCACACTAGGAAAAGTCTTGATTTCCCTTTCTTTTGGGAGATAATCAGATTCCAACTATCTTGATGTATTTGACAATCCTTTGCCTACACTGAAACATGAATTTAACCCTTCTGTAGATATGTGTCATGTTGGCATTTTTTCCAAATTGGAGCAGTGTAGAGGAGGAAAGGGCAGTGCTCATGAAATAGTGCTAGAAATATTTGAAATTGGCTGTACTCTGTAACTAAATGCCATTTAGATCAGCCTTTTGATAAATTTCCTGTACTAGAAAACATCCTAGATAAGCTAACAAGAAGTCATCATAAAATTAAGTATTCTATTTTCAACAGATTATCTCCTTCCCCAAATATTCCTTCATAAAGAAATAATATAACACCCCTTGGGGGCTGAGGCAGTTAAAGTACCAGTACTGTTGGGGAGGGGAACATGAAACTCAAAACTAATATGTTACAGTGTCTCTCAAAGTGTAATGCTCAAAACAACAGTATCAGCATTACCCAGGCAACTTGCTCTGAAGACATTATTATTGAACCAGGTGTGAGTGTACATACTTAAAATCCCATCACTGGATAAGCTGAAGCAGGAGAATTCAGAATTTGAGCTCAGCCAGAGCTACATGGTGAATTTCAAGCCAGTTTATTCTGCATCAAAGAACATCTCTCAAAAGAAAAAAAAATGTGATGGGTCCCATTAAAGACCTAATGTATGGGTGGAGGGGGGTAGTCTGTTTTAGCAATCCTACAGAAGATTCTGATACATTTTAGAGTTTGAGAATTACTTCCTTCATAAGACTTAGTTTATCAGATACCTTTATATTTATGGGAGTTGAATTCAGGGTCTTGCATGTGCAAGGCAAGTTCTCTACCACTGAGTTACGTCCCCAGCACTGTTTTCTCATTTTGAAGAAGAAGAAACTTATTCTAAGGTCTTCCCAATGTTATGTAACATAAGTGTTAAAGTATGTCGTACATCTTAGTCATTCTGACTTGAACAACAACAACAAAAAGCCTATCCTTTTTAGTTTTTAGGGGTGGGCTGGAACTCAAAAGACATTCGTTCACTAGATATCTCCTGGAACTTTAGGTCTCTGGAAACTGTGCTGATGGGACCTTGTCCAGAGTCCAACCCCTCCCATAATTTTATTCAAAATGGCTTCTCCAGCCTCAAATGGGGAAGTACAAGCTTGGCCCCACCCTAATCTGAACAGACCACCTGGCCTTTTCATCCCTGATTCTAGAGTTTCTGATTCATCCAATGTCAGTCATCCTTTCTGAACTCCACTGTGTCCATTAGGGATGG